GGGGGCTGGGGCAACGCTAGGATAGGTGTCCCGGCGGAGGGTTGTTAAGGGCCGGATGAGGAGGGCAGGGGACGGTAGGGGTGTACCATGCCTGTCTAGCCTGCGAGGAATCGCCGCGAATGCTGACGTGAGCACGAAAACAATGTATGTCGGCTTGTGGCTTCGCCAAGGGTGCGCATACGCCCCGAGACGCTCTGGAGGGGGTCCCCCTGTTCCTCTGTCCCCCGCCGCCACACCTCGCTATTCGTTTCTCGGCGACGATTTGCTCTCCCTCTGCTCTCCAAGAGCGTCGCCATATTGCGTCGCCCCAGACGGTTTGGCACCGCTGGCTGTTCCACTCGGGTTGTTTATCCAATTAAAGCAGTCGTCGCTCTCTCGCGTCCGGCACAATTTTGGAATTACTGCGGCGGCATATCAAGCGCCACATGTCGCGTTTTTAAAAAGATATTATTTACCCTAGGAAAGCTGTTTATTTCGATGTTAAACTCCATTCAAATTGTGCCCCCCTGTTCCTCGAATGCCCACGTGCAAACGGTTAGTTGCCTCTTTCCTCTCCGCCCGCGCGGTACGCCTCACGCCTCGCCGAGGCACGGATAATGAAAGCGGATGTTGTTCAGTAGGGTCTCAAACAGAATTTCGCTAAATTTGTTCTTTCGTATACCGCACCGCCCGATGGGAAAACGGTTCTTTGTAAACGTTCGCGAGTTGTGTCGATCTCATAGAACGTTCTACCCGAGTGTAAAGTAAGCCCGTCTATAACACATTCAGTGCAGGAGTTTTATTTATTTATTTATGATTTTCGGTGGGGAGGGTGTGGCTAGTGGCCATTTTTTGGTCGCTCATGGAAATGTCCATAAGATTTTCAGTCCTTCTAAGCCTGATCCCCAAACCCCAGTTTCGTATAGCTCAAACCGTAGCACCCCCCCCCCCTTTCGAAGACTTTTCAAGTAGTACGCGCGACCACATAGTGGCCACAACAACACACACACACTGAACGAGAATGGGTTGCATCGTATCGGAAGCGAAACACGAGAGCGATACATGTCAAGGAAAGTGCTGCCCCCTCCCACAAAGGAGATCGTCCGACGCGATGAGGAGTGGGCTCGACGCTTTCTGCACCACCTGACCTGGGCGCTCTGGGGGGCGGACCGCCGGCGCGACACAGCTGCTTGGCGGGCCGGCCTACCAACCGCGTAGCAGGCGCTAACATGCCTCGTGAGACGTTCAGTAACTCTGGTAACCCAAGTGTGTACATGTATGCGGTACCCCCCGAGTGCGTGCATAGGGTAGTGCGTACATGATCATGTATGCAGGAGATAGTGTGTACCAGGTCATCATGTACTTGGGTTCCTAGAGAGGGATCCAGGCACATTCACTTCAACCCGGGTGGAACTGCGAGAGAGCAACCCGCCGCCGTGTATGGGGCGGGAGCGTGAGCGTATAGCGACTAAGTCGCGAGGACGCTGTAACTGCAGTGTCCGATCGTTCAGTAGTGAGGGGATGGTGACAGGCTGAGCTACCGCCGGCCGGCCCCCGGAGAAGTCGCCCCGTGCTCAATCTCTCCGGTTACCGGTCGGCAGCTCAGTCGCCATATCATAATATCATCGTCGCAATAATTCCTAATTGGATACAGCGAGTGCAGTTTCAGACCAGTGGGCACAGAGTGGGCCTGACCCGCCGCGCCGACTCGCGCCCCGCCATGCTCCCGGGTCCGCATTAGCCTTATTAGCGCCCCCCCCCCTCCTCACCCGGCCGGCGGTTAGGGTTAGGCCATCGCGGCTGTTCGCCGTGGGACGCCACTCACAAGGCAGGCCTTCCTTTAGGTCTAGGAAAGAGGGGGGGGGGAGAGGGGACGACTTGATGTGTAAGGGTTGTGTCAATGTGGGGGTTGATTCGATCCGGGAGTGATCAGAGATTTATCCAGGGGGGGAAATACCGAGGGGTCCCTCACCATAAATTCTAGCGTACACCAATTTTTCTGTTTTTCTTGATCTTTTTGTGATTTTTGTGATTTTTTTCATTAATTTTTTTATGTTGTTTTCGTGATTTTTTCTAAGGGTGAACACTGATGTTTTTGGACCCCTCGGGACCCCTCGGGAAAGACCAAGGGGCACTTCACTCAAAAGACAAATCCCAAAAAATAAGAAGAAAAATCAAGGAAAATTAAGGAAAAAATCAAGAAAAACTGCAGGGTTGCCACAAGAATGGAAAAGTGAAATTCCCTGACATTTCCCTGACAATTCCGTGGCAATTCCCTCACAACAAGATAAGCACTCAGAATGCAATAAGAAAGGAGGGTCTTTTACGAACACCTCGCTAGTACCCAAAAATACCTCTGCCGGCCGTTTTTACCTAGGGATCATCCAGAAAGTACGTCCGTCAATCGCCGTTTCGAACCTCCCAAGTTCAGCCTATGCAAGGTCCCATAGCGCCTGTTGGGTAGGCAACATCCTGCCTGCTGTGCAGATGTGTACTGCGGGGTGGCCTACCCCGAGGCTCGCAGGCGCCGAGCTCGCGTATTTTGTCGAAGAAATCCGAGAAAAACAGACGTACTTTGTGGACGATCCCTGACACAGCGATCAATTCCCTGACACTTCCCTGACTTCCTTGGCACATTTTGTTTTCCCTGACATTTCCCTGACATGTGACAACCCTGTTAGAGAAATTGGTGAACGCATGAATTGCAAGTGAAGTACACCTCGGGTGGGTAATCCAGGGGCGATTCCGTCCTAAGAATAACTCAGAGCACTCAGAGTCGCTCTCCCCCGAGCGAGCGCAACGGCACACGGCACGCACCCTGGTCCGGTTGTGGCAGCGCTGGATCTCGTGCGCGACGGCCTGGGCGCGCTGGTGCAGGCGGGCCTCCTTGCCGGCGAGACAGACGTAGTGCTCGATGTCCGAGCCCGGTCCGGGGCCGGCCCAGCTGTGCTCCGGGCACGGGCAGGCTGGCGGCGGCGCTGGCGGGCCCTCGCGCGGCCGGGCGAACGTGAGCTCAGGGGGCCGCCACGCGCTCAGCTGCACGGGGAAAGCCCACGGCCACGAGAAGTCGCGCCGGTACGATGTTCGAAACGTTTCCATCATTTTGATGGTTGCTAGTTACTACTTGTTTCAAAAAAGAAAAATATATTTTTGGTTAGTTTTTTGTTGGTTTAACATGACTCGTATTAGCCATGGTGGAAATCTAAACTTGAAATTTAGAATGTGTCATGATTATGTCTGAGTTTTGTTACTTGGATACAGGCGAGCGGGGGCGGGGGTGGGCATTGTTACCCTCTGCTCGCCCCACGCGCCGCTCGCCCGTCGGCCTTAGACTTACCAAGGACTTACTAGGAGCAAGGAACGAATCTAGGAATCATGCCAAAGACTGGGATTTTGTTCATAATTTATTTATTATCGTAAGCTATCAGCACACAGTTCTTTAGCTGATCCGATGAGAAACCACCTGAGCAAGAGAGGAGCATCAGGATACCATTCTACAAGCAGAAAAGTTTCCACACACCTCTTAGTTTGGGGCTTCAACAACAGACGGGCTTATTCACAGACGCAAGGGGAGAGGGGCGACATTCACACAACACAGCTCACTAGATACTAGTTTCACACTTAAAAGCCAGCAATAGGACACATTCTTGGTGAAGCCACAGAAGAACAGTACATAGCAGAACATAAAAGTGCCTTTAGGAAAATATGGATATACCTGAGGCTACACTCCCCACATGAAATTAGGAATGCCTGCAACATCTAAGTACATAAGCACAAAACTGAAGTAAAATTTATCAACTCAAATGAGATTTACGAAAAGCAAGCCTATAAGTACACTTATGAACACAGAAGCCACAAAATATGAATGATATTAAGGTGTCATGAAATGTGATAGTCACACTAATGGCACATTAAACATAACATGTAATTCAGCGATTAAGTACCAAGGACATAACTGTAATGCTTTAATACAATTTTTACTGAGGTTACAATCCCTCTCATGACTAACCTAAAAGGTTTTTTTTGATATAGTTGCCCAGCTGTGCATAACTCAATGCTAGACTGAGATGTATGCCAAAACATTCAACCAAGCAAAAATTGTTTTTTTAAAAAAAAATTACCATTGAACACATTTGACAATCCCTGTTCAAAGTTTACAAATAGGTAAGTTTTAAGTTCTATTGACAACTCTTGACACTAAATACATATTTTACCAATAAGAGGTTTTAGTAATATTGTCAAGGGATGTTATGGATTAGAACGGTTCAGCCAATTCATAATAATTCATCACATTGTCCAAATTAAGCTTTTAACACATGTCTCAGTGATTTGTAAGGGCCAGCATTTCAGCTATTGTGTAGAACCATTACTGAATGCTGAATGAAAATCAACATATCACTGACTACACAAAACAGTCAAAATGTTGCAATGGATTAAAGTCATACAAATACAGTAACCATGCGCAAAAACCTTAAGTAGAAATGATAGAATATCTTAAGATGAACGACCAGGAAAGGTTGGATTAACTTTTATCACATGGGAACCACAATGACCACAATGATATTTGACATGAAAATACACACAGTGCACATAAAATAAATGTATACGCAAAGAGAAAATTGCTCTATCACGAAATTAAAACATCAAACTATGCTTTTAACTACAGTACTATTGTAAGAGGGACCATTACAAGTGGTCTTTGGAAATTCTTAAATTAGACATCACAGAGAATAGAAGACACATCAGTTGATGAATAAAATATGCAACCAAATGGACATAATGCCCTGCTGGAGAAAAATTAGTTACAAAAACTAATTACGCTATTCATAAAATATGACATCACATACACAGCAAATACAAATAAAATTCCTACTAATATAATTCCTAACTCAAAAACAATCATTAGAGAAATTCGATGTCATTATTTACATACTTTACTTAAAAATATAGATTTATCCTATACAGGGAAAGATATCCCACTATATATGGACCACAATTTGTTTTCTTATAAAACAATAAGTCTAAACAGATACAGTGCCACTGCACCATTAAAATTCAGATATCTTTAAGCAGGCCCTGCCCACTTGCTATGGAACACAAGCTGCACTTTCAAACTCAAAGTCTAGTGCAATATTTAATGGACGGTTTCAAAATGTCAGTAAAAACTGAAGTTATAAATGCATGGGATATTACAGGACAGTCGGGTCACTGTAAAGGGGCAATTTATGCCTAGATTAAACTTGAATTCAGACAGCCTGTCTTACCAGTTCTACAAATTACGACCACTTTGGTGCAAAATCAGTGCGGCAATATGGTCAAGTTGAGTCATGGTTGACACTGCCATAATTGCGAGGCTGGTTCCTGGAGGGGCCTATCACAACTTGGCGATTGGATCCCCTCTGTCTGAATATCAGTCCTGCAACAAAATCCACAACTATCAGTTTATGAAATTACAAGGGCAATTTAAGTGATCATGTTACATAATTGTAGGGGTTAATCAGGTTTGATTTACGAGACAGAGTAAGGTATTTCCTTAAATGTAAAGCAACTATTCCGACACAACCTAGTAGAAAGCAGGTTGACCGAAATCTTAATATAACCAAGGAATGAATCAAAGACAGTCAAATATGGATAGCAAAAATTATATGCTGCACAGGGTGGAGCAAGTCAGATACAAGTTTTAAAGAACTGGAATCCAAATTCTTCAATCCCTCAAGATGTTTAAAATGTAACACTTAAATGAACCATGCCTTGCATGCTAATTATCATGCACATTACTCTGGAGTTATTTAGTACATTCAACTACAAGGTACATATAGTCTTACACTGTCGAGCGATGCCTCGTTACTTCTTGCCGTGCTCTGTCCTTGCTGTTGCATCTGTAACACCTGTCTTTTGTGAACATCCTGCTTTGCTCTGTTCATGGGAGCCCCTGGTGGAAGAAAGCGTGCAAACATATCAATTAGCATTCAGAGCAGGCCCGATCTCATGCTCACACATAATGAAGCTACGAATCCAAAGAGAGCTTAAAGAGACCCTTCCAGAACTCAGCTAACTCGAATGACACTACAAATTATGTTAAATACTAATCAAACTCTCATACTCACTAGGGTATGAGAGAAAAAGTATTAGAGTGGTTTGGAACTATTTCATTCCAGCATAAAATTCAGTGAGAGATACTTAGCAATATTTGGGATCACAGAGGTAAAGATGAAATTTTAACTCATTAAGCTTCACTTGGTTTGCAATACTGATGCTGCACAAAATGCAGAAGCTTGAGCACATACAGAATACGTAAGGAAACAAATTAAAATCAATATGTAGGATAAGCAAAATGTTGACTTAATGTAAGTATAACAGGGGAGTCATAGACATTTTAAATTTAGGGTTAAAAATGAACTCTGACAAGAAAAATTCATGACCTTATGTTTAAAATTCCTCGCAAAACTTGCACGAATAACTATCCCCAAGCAAACATGAAAGCCCTAAGGATATTTCTGGCAAAATACCAGTTGATCCACTGGCACTTTAAAGCAACCCAACATGCACAAAAGGTATCTTAAATTGTTTCCATTCATATTTGTCTTTTCTTTTTTCAAATCATCCCCAGCTTTGAGGACCAACTAAACATTGCAACAAAAACTTTGTGGTAAGAACTTACCTATGTAACTCAGCAGCACAGGAAGGAAGATTAACCCATGGGCAGCTCCATAGAGTACAATACCTAGGTACATTCTGAAGTAATACACCTGGAAGATGGGTGACTTGGCAAAGCCCAAAACAACAATTCCTCCAAATTTGGTGAGAGTGATGCCAGAGAATATCTAGAAATTACAAATACTTTCATGGACTGGATCGACACAGGACAAAAATGGGACACAGGACTGATGGAAATTAAAATTCTTACCGAACTGCCCATTTTGGTTAAGGCATCAGCTGATCTTTTGACTCTTGAAGTTTCCACAGACACAGCAAATGTATGAACAAGATGACTGCAGAATTCAACGGAAATACCCACCGCCTGAAAAGCGTATTCAAGACATCTATAACAAAATATCATGTACTGTAGCTGGAAGTGAGAAGTCCATGATGGGTTTCATATCTTTACCATGACTAAGTTGACTCGTGATACTGCATTGAGAGAAATATTCCACCAATACATCAAACCCAAAAGGTTGGTTACAATCATCACAATGGTGATGATGACAACAAGTGCCGAACAAATATCTAGTCCCATAAGGAGGAATGTGACCACAAAAATAGCAGCAAGAGAAAGACCCAAACTTCCAAGTGTATCCGGCCACATGGTCAGATACTGCTCATAGAAGACATAAAACACACTGTAAAACAAAAACACCGTTAATATACATTTTTAAATGGCAAATAAGTTAGGCCAAATGTCAGACAGCCTGAATGTTTTCATACCTGTATGGGAAAACATTGACAGTTTTCGTAGAACCACTTTCCTTCAGCTTCCCATTTATCATGTTGGTAATATTAGCAGCTACCTCTCTCGCAGATTCAATGGCTGAATAATAGTCCTTTGATGTCTTCAGGATGGAATGGTAAGCCATGAAAGAACTGGGCCCAACACTGAAGGTATTGTTGGATCCAGGTAATAGCTTCACTGCCTAAAATGAACAAGGAACACAAATTAAGCAAAATGAAGATGTACATATACCAGCCATCTATTCAGTGGGAAATAGTAAATACATTACCGAGCCATATGCAGCATGACCAGCAACTGCACACTCAGCATCAGGGTTGTCGTTTAAGAAGAAAGAAACATATTTGCTGAATGTGCTTGGGTCGGGGCGTCTAGTGGTGTTGTCCAAATTAACTTTACATGTCTTACACCCTAAAATTACCACAAATAAATTAGAACTGGTTGTTTTCTGCTAAACTCTGGATGGATATAAAACTTTAATCAAGGTCTTACTTCTACTAGTGTGGGGACAGAAACTTCCATTGACCTTCGATTCCTTGCAGCAGCCTGGAATATCTAGCCAGCTCATGTAATCATCAATCCAAGATGAAGGAGGTCTTGAGATGTATGTCCTAAGAAACAAAAACAAGTTAACGAAGTTACAGAAAACATACAGATGAAGTGTTTCCAATAAATAGTTACCTGCTGGGAGTTTGAGAAGCACTATACAGCTGTGTAAGAAGTGAATCTTTATCACATGTTAGGCCAGAACAAATCATATTTTGAGTTTTTGGATCTGAATAGTCTAAGCCATCTGTGACAACAAAGTAAACTGGGGGCCCAACAGATAGGTAATTTTTGAGGTACTGTAATATAAAGAACAATTAATGCTAATGTGACTTAGATTTAAATACAGCATACAGTATACAGAGAGCATGGCTGATTATAACTTACTAAGAAGTACTTTTGAACAGGAGAATCATCAGGAACTGACTGTTCTTGATCCAAACCCACATCTATATGAGGTATAACTGCAAGACTTGAGCATAGCCAACCAAAGAAGACAACCATCACAAAAGGACGAACCCACTTGTTGAGAAGCATGGGCACATAAGCAACCTCAAAGAGCTTGTAAAGTGCTCCATTATTTGGAGCAATGTCTCTCTTTGATCCCCTTGCAAAACAGCAAATATCATATCTGTTTTCCTGCAAAACAATGGAAACATGAATTCAGTTTTGATAGGATAGATTTTTGGATTAGAATAATAAGTAACATATCAAATAGACCTACCGACTGTCTGGCTGTGTCAAGAGCTAGGAGACCGACAAAGCATGTTATTTGGAAAATAAAGTCAATGAAGAGAGCCATTCCTGCATATAGAGCAAAAGCTTTCACAGCAGGCATGTCAGACAATCCACCAAGCAAGAAACAGAATGTCTCGGATAAACTGGTCAGAAGCATGGATGGTCCAACTTGTCCAAGGACACGACCAATATGCTCTGCAGAGGTCTCTCCAGGGTTACGTGGAGTTCTTTGATGGGTTTGAACCAGAATGAAGATGTTGTCAACACCAACAGCCAACACAAGGAAAGGTATAACCTACAACAAAACTCAAGTGTAAGACAAAATGTCTGTAGCCAAGACAGAGAAACAAAACAAAAAAACACACTTCTTACCTCAACAATGATTAGAGTAGCAGGAACACCAATGTAACCAAACAGGCCAACAGAACAGACCACAGACACAATAACAATCAATACACCACCAAGTCCAAGTGTTATTTTGCTATCAATGAGAAGGCGGTCACAAGTGGAAATCTGACCTAATGATACAGCTATGTAACCAAACATTATCAAGTAACTGGCAATGATAGTGCGGACATCAGAAGTTGATTCTTTATCCAATTCATCTTCAATTGAGCGCTCTGCATTGAAGGAGATATCAAAATGTTCTGGCATTGAAGTGTTGACATATTTCTTCATAAATGACACAAACCTAAAAAAAGTGAAATGGAGGAAGGTATAAGCACAGAAAGAATTAAGATAAATACTGAATATAGTATAGGCATATGAATTTGCAATATCAATGTCCTTACTTGGCCTCCCACTCCAGAGCAGGTATCAGCAGAGTTTTGTTGTGGTAATTGTTTAGGAGGATAGTGATGATAACTGCAGTTGCATTTTGATATTGAGAAGGATCCTTGATTGCCTCTCTGTCTTTCAAAAAGCCACCCAAAGCAACTGTGGGGTCAACTGGTCCACCATACTGAGCAAAACAATCTGGGTTGTAGTAATTTCTGCAATTCAAGAAATAGCAATAGTGCACATTGAGTGATTGATAAAATAGAGGCAAAAAGAGATTGGGGCAGTCAGAGAAATATCACTCACTGTGAACATGTTTTGAAATGGTCTAAATAGTTAACAGTGAAGTTGTTGGGGTCAGTCGACTCTTCATCAAACCTATCAACATCATCTTGATAGTATCCCCAAGGACTAACAACAAAACAGTCCTTGAGCTTCTTGGTGCCAGAGTAGGATGCGTGAAGAGGGGCAAAGCATACCTTATCAAGACCTTTGCTTTCATTCTGCCCAAGCTGCAATAATTCAAGAAATTCACACAAAATTAAAATTAAAATACACAAAGATTTGAGAAAATGTAAAAATCTATCAAAGTACATACTTGTACAATTTGCTTTTGGAGTTCTAAAACATCCATCAAAAAATCTTTGTTGAACACTGGGCCAAATGTCAATCTACCCTTGGATGTGTCATGATAAACATTGTCCAAACCCTTTGCTCTGATTATGATGTGTTCAGTTCGGTAGAAGGGCTCAAATTTCTCATCATAATATTCTCGTTCCAGTCTAGAGCGACTCTCAGGCGAAGCCCAAAGATCAACAGGATCAGTTGTGATTTTCAGGAATGTGACACCGTAACACAAGATGACAACCACAACAAATGTAAGGCCCATGGTTAGCCAGGGCCGTCCTGCGCACACTACACACACACAAAGAAAAGGATTTTTAACTCTCAGGATATCCAATGTAAGGAATCCATTTGAAAACTTCAAGGAAACAATTTACCTGTCCCCCATTTTGTGAAGAAGGCCTCTAATTTTTCATCTATTACTGCTCCAAGCTTCTCATAACAAGAAGCTTGTGACTGAGGCTTATCAGAGCCATCAATGCCATCAATGTCACTAGCTACACCTGAAAAATGAAATAGATTTGGATCAAGACAAGTTAATTTATTTAACAACCTGCTAAAGCATCAAACTACTAAACATACATTAAACATGACATAGTTTAGCAATGGAAAATTCTCAAGAGGCTGTAAAACACAGATATTCTGCATTACACAAACCTTAAAAGCAAGGATACAAGCAAAAGGAGGCAATCAATACAAAGCCTCATATGCATTTGTAGTTAGAAAATAAAAGAGCAAGGAAAAATCTAGTAATGACAGATAAATAATGCAGCCCTTAAAGCCCCTGTTAGTTCCTATAGTTAGTCTAATGTCTACAACATCCACAAATGACACAGGACAAAACAACTACGTGTTTAAACGCGCCACAGAGAGAAGGACACATATAGGAGACTATCACAGACAAGAGAAACATTCGCTAAGCTCAAAAATTAGGAGCATGCAAATGAGTTAGGTAACACGTACTGGAACGTTTGGACTGCAAAGGGCTTTCTTCATCATCACCAAATACAGGTTGCTGCATTTGATTCATGCCTGCAAATCGCCTTCCCACAGACTGACCAACTGACAGTCTACCACTATCACCACCATTTCTTGTCACCAGAGATGCTGAAACCAATGGAAATACTGAAAAACCAGCTACACCCAACCTTCAACAATTATGTCTTGCTTACTGATGAAGACAAATAGTGTTGAATCGTTCTGTTAAGATGATGTAATCATCATAAATTTAGGAATTTTAAGATTTACAAAACAAAATTGAGAGTGAGAACTTGAGTACAAAAAATGGAGATGAAATCAGCATGCATTTGCCGGACAGGTACACCTTACTACTGCCCACTGCCTGCCTGAATACAGTCGTGTTTCAAGATTGTAACCTGGGAGGTTCATAAGGAGGGGAGGATAGGGATGGCTGCCATGCATTACCAGACAGCTGACAGAGCCAGCAAAGAGCACCCCGTACGCCTTCAAGGTCAGTATATCCCTTCTGCCCACATGCCTGAGTGATGAGATCAAAGATTGGTGGAGTCAAGGTGACCCGTGAGTAGCCCCTTATTGGCATGCACCTCTGGCCCCTGTCGAATACAAACACCACCAGCCAAGAATGTATGTGAAATGGTCGGAGGCCATCAGCTGATAACAGGGTACTTGACTTAACATGAGGAGTGAGCTGGATAAACAGACTGAAAGCCAGCTCCTGTGCCAGCAAGAGAAAGGGACTCCATACGTAGTTAACAAGTTGTCACTAATGACTGGCCCAGCAAGATTCATTAGCACATAGTACAACACTTTCCGGGATTTGTTTAAGAAAGATGAAGTAACTTGCTGTTGAAGATGCACACTGTCAGTCATTTAAGTTTCTTAAAATTTTCTTAAGAGGAAAAAAATTCTCAATTTGAATCATCATTTGTGATGTCTCGGCACCTTGAAACTAATTTAACATTGTGATCAAGTCAACAGTCTAATAATATGGGGATCAACTCCAAGAAGAAATTGAGTGACTGGGGTTCTTGGACAACAACCAGAATACCATACTTCTTCCACCCATGCTTGACCAATAAAATGTGACACATACCTGTATAAGCACACAGATTAGGACACAAGGTCACCAATCCCACAAATACACAGCTGCCTATGATGAACACCAGAAACATAACTACAGTAATGCCATCTTTGCCCGCAATGACAAATGGTTCTTCTGGAGGAGATGGTGGCAAGGGCGCAGGACAGCTTTGCTGGCAATCAACACAACTGCAAGGCGGCTTTCCCTGTGGTAGAAAACGTATTTAACAGCTGTCCATGAAGAAAAACAATAGATAAAGATAATATCAAGTTTCAAGAAACCTACATTTGACCCAACATAGCAAGGTGCAACAGGAAAGTCCATTGGAATTGCTGTGCTGACAGGCACATCTGATGCGTGATATGATATGGCAAACGGAGCAAAGGGATTTGCCTCTCCTGTTGATCCAATGAAAGCAAACCACCTGAAAAAATGTGCAAGTTGATTAATGAGTCAAACTTAGAAATTCTCAGATTAAATAACTTGAATTTCAGGTTACCTCAAAGCAGTGCAGAGAGAAGATCCCCATGGTCCACACATAAGATCCAGAGCACGTTGACCAGAAGATGGCACAAATACACCAGCGCAAGAGTCAAAGATGCCTTGAAGTGACTTATTTGTAACAAGCACATCCACAGAAGAAACTGACTCCACTGTCTTGTTACCTAAACAGATAAATAAATGATGCAGTTGAATCAAGTCTACTATTTCAATAAAAAGTAATTATGACAGAACAACAATACAATATGTGTACATGAAAATTACAAAACTTACCAATTACATTCTTTTGCAGCCCTGTTATATTCATAAATTTAGACTGATCTGCTGCACAGGTCATGACACAGAAATGCTCAGCAAAGTTGTCCATACATGATGGGCAGTGTTTGAGAAACTGATGAGCAAGTCGGATGTTTCTATCCAATGCCTGTAGCTGATCTACGTCACAACATGTTTGTATGGTACCACCAATGCCTGCAAAACAAAATTTTCATAAACAAAAGTTCAAATAAAAACATGTTGCATATTTGTGATATGTTTGAGTGACGTTGAAAGTTGATGAGATCTCTAAGGCTGTTAGTTCACTGCCATCGTCTGAGTAAAGGCGAACTATCACAAAAACCTTTCAGACAGTTGCACCACCAATCCAATATACAAGTCAGGTGATAAAACCCTTCCATTTAATTATTGTCTCATCAGTATCCTAAAAGTACTCTCCAAAATTCTTGAAAAATTACTGAAGAAAAGACTTACATCCTTCCTTTCATCAAATAACTTCTTTACAAAATTACAAAATGGTTTCACCCCTAGAAGATCCACTGAATGTGTAGCTACTACAGCAGTAAAAATAATCCAAGATACGTAATTTAGATGGTGGCAAATTGTCAGTAGGTTTACTTATCGATCTCCGCAAAGCATTTGAGCATCACTTTAAGATAAATTAGATGCAGCAGGCACAAGAGGACTAGCAAATAAATGGCTAATCACATAAAATCCAAGATACCGCCTGTAGTGGGAATTCTAAGTACTATGCTTCAAACTTCTGAACTCAGCGTTGAGCCTTCTAATCTAAAGACTATTTGTTTGGCCTTAATTCATTCTCACTTCACATATTTATTCTCAATCTGGGGTCACTGTACTAAGGAACGGTAAAGAGAACTGGAAGTTATACAAAACAGAGCACTGAAATTCGTCTTTAATATGCATCATCATCTTCAACCCACCATCTCTATCTACAAAACAATAAATGTCCTTCCAGTAACTGTTCAAACCAAACAATCCTCCGTAACATGCATTCATCAAATAAATCAAAATCTTGTAGTATCAGACATCAACCTCACAAAATGACAAGATATTCATAGCCACTTCACCAGGTCCTCATCTCATATTCACCAAACAATCCGCTCATCTAGACATTGAGTCAAGTCATCGTTCAACATCCCTGTCTAACTTTATAATGATCCACCAGCAAATGTCACAAATATGTCAATGCCATCTTTCAAAAGATTTGTCAAAAAGAATTTCTCATTGAGTATCTAATTAATTCTACAGACGCTGCAAGTGAGGTTCCTCCACGACCTACCCCGCCCACCCTCTCCAGCTTTCTCCTCGCCCCGCCGTGTTGCTCGGTTTGCGCAGGTCATTCAAATTATGAGTGTCCATATTTTAACTGGTTCAGAAACTATTCCTGAGTATGTTTTAAGTCCATACCTGTAGCTCCTAAAACCATCTGAATGAGCGGCATTTAGTAATGGTAAATACTTATCTAGTACTTTAGAAACGCAGAAGCTGGAATGAAAACAATTGTGCGACACGGAGGGGG